AGCGCTGGTGTCGGGAAGCCTGCTTTTCGTCCATTACTTTCTTGGCATTCCCTGGGGGAAGGAGGGGTTTTAAGGGTTTTGAGATGAGCACATAAGCAGAGATGAACCCATTAGACAAAGAGAAGCTCTCCATTCTGTGCCACCAAACAGAACACGAGAAAGAAGTGGTCTAAATGGGCATCTCGTGACCCCAAAGACACTGAACTAGTGTCCTCTGGCTGTCGTTATAAATTAATCTCAACTTGGTGGCTTAAAATAACATCCAGAAGTCCAAAATGAAGGTGTCAGGAGGGCCGCGCAACCTTCAGAGCCTCGAGGGGCGTCTGTCCTGTGTCTCCTGTGGCAGCTTCTGGGGTCCCCCCACTCCCTGGTTTGAGGCTGATGGTTCCACTCACGGCCCTGTCTGCTCACGGCCTCCTCCTCTCTGCTCTGTGTCCCCTCCCCTTCCATCTCTTGTAAGGACACCTGTCACTGGATTTAGGGCTCCCCGCCCCCCAGATAATCTAGAACGATCTCGGGATCCTTCACTTCATTTTGTCGGCAACGTAACTTTTTCCAAATCAGCTCAGATTTGGACAGATCGTTCAGGGGTTCACGCTTTGACGGGCTAGAGGCCCAGCCTCGGGATGAGGTTGACTCTGTCGAATGGTCAGATACGCAGAAGGAAGCTTGGCTGCATCACTGAGCCCAAGCCTGCCTTACTTCTGGACTTGTGCTGCTATGAAATAGTGTCCCTTCTTGCTTGTGACTGGGGTGAGTATCAGCCCAGCTCACATGCTGCATGTGTGCTCTCATAGCAGGCATGGGTGGCCCACAGAGCCTGGCCCAATCTGAGTATCAGCCCAGCTCACATGCTGCATGTGTGCTCTCATAGCAGGCATGGGTGGCCCACAGAGCCTGGCCCAATCCCCAAAGCCCGAACAGCAGTCTGAAGGGTTTGACACGGTCGTGGGTTTCTTTAACACAACAAACAAAACAGGGGCGCCTGGGTGGCTCAGTCGGTTAAGTGGCCGACTTCAGCTCAGGTCATGATCTCGTGGTCTGTGAGTTCAAGCCCCGCGTCAGGCTCTGTGCTGACAGCTCAGAGCCTGGAGCCTGTTTCAGATTCTGTCTCCCTCTCTCTGACCCTCCCCCATTCATGCTCTGTCTCTCTGTCTCAAAAATAAATAAACGTTAAAAAAAAAAAAAACAAAAAAAACC